TATTTTACAAATCACTGTTTATAGATTTCACAGGTAAAATACAGATATTTATTTGTTGTTACCATGACAACATCCACACAATGGGAATACTAAATTGTAGTCCGGTGAGACGGAGCTCAGTTGTTGTTACATTCTAGAAGCTCTATGATGGAGCAGAGAAATTAATTCTCCTCTGATTTGCATTTCTCCAATTCATGTCAAAAAAAGGTGAGCATCCATTAAACTGTTTGACATGGCTGTGACTTCAGGAAGCAATGGGAACCAGGAGCCACACAGACGTTAGTTCTTCTCCTCTAACCTGCTAAGTTATATGCAGAAGTGGGAAATAACTATTTACATTTATCAGGTTAACTTTTTGAAAAAAAAAAAATTGAAATAGTTTTATAGCATTGTAAAATATATATATAAACTATCACAGCTCTTACTTGGGTAAGAAGTTTCTTGCTGCTCCATCCATTGTGAGTAACTTCACTTAATGAACACAAGCTTGTTTTAACACAATATTCACCATTAAGAGAAACACTTTCTTCTTTTCTGTGCACAAGGTTTATTGGTTAAAAGTTATTCTGTTGTGTCTGCTATGTCATTTGGAGGTTGAGTGAAAATACAGTAAACAGTATACTGTAATTTAACCCATTCTTACACACCGTAACTATCGATTTTGTAAGTTTTATAACTCAAAAAATATATTTTGAATAGTTTTCATTCCACCTATTTTTTATTGTAGGATTACAGTATGTTATATGTTTATTTTTATCTTAACAATTGAAACCAAAATTTGCATATCACTGGATATTTAGTTCAATTTTACATCATTTTGTAAAATATCAAATCATTTGTCAGGTCCATGTGTATTAAATTATTCAGCACATGTGTATCCTAGAGTCTAGAAAGCTGTACTAAAATGAATTTCTTGTGTGTACAAAAGGACAAAATAAAATCTGTCACAGTTTACGCAAAAAAGCAAAAAATAAAAATAAATAAATATTAACATAGGGCCAGAACTACAATGAAAGACTTGAAATTGAATGCTACTGATGCTCCAGAGTGGCTGGGAAAAAGTTTAGATCTTGATTTTAATGCAAGATTTGAAAACTGCCGGCGGACGGATGTATTTCATCATATTTAATCTAGCTTAGCTTCAGCTGAGAACAAACATACATACATGAATATACGCTTAAATAATAAATATTTGTCCTTTCCATTTTTGTCATCTATCTAAAATCCCATTAAAATACCTTTAGGGTTGTTTTTGTAACCTGACAAAATGTGAGACAGCTCTAGCGCTGTGAATTGTTGAACAGGGCACCGTTCTGCAGTGTTTATAGAAGCTGCAGTGCATTCTGGATGTGACATTTTCTTCTTTTTAAACACTAAATAGAACCAGGCCACTGACCTTTACTTTGCTGAGTGTTTACCAGCCTACAAATATGATCCATATGATGTTACTAGGTGCTTTGAAAGCGAACTCATAAAGCTTTTAAAGCTGTGGCACTAAAATCTGCAGCAGAGCATCATCACAGATCTGTAGTTCAGGCATTAGCTGTACACAACCTGCTCTGTATAGCATTTCTTTTTTGTTTTCTTTATAGTTTCTGTTCCAAACTCCTGTTTCTTTTATTATTTTTTAACTGTTTTTTTTCCTTCCTTTCTTTTGCCGTTCTACTTTTTCTGCAAAACACTTCATGCAACACCCACAGCTGCTGCAAAATCACGTATGGGCTGGGCTGCAGTTTCAGCCTAATGCTGACAACAACAGTGTTTTGTACGTTTCCATGCCAACAGCGTCTCTAAGTCGATTCAGAGAGAGGAAGGAGTTCTTACCTCACTGTTCCTCTTCAGCAGCTGCAGCAGGTTGGCGTTTCCTCCCTGCACACAAACAAGAGCACAGACTGAGTGAAGTCAAACCAATGCATGTAGTGCAAAGTGTTTGGCTGCACAAAGCTCTGTAGGGTTGTTTTCCCAGAAGGTGTTTAATGCTGCACATGTTGCTCTGCAGTCATATCTAACTGTAAAGGAATGGAAACACAGCACTCCTGCAGTTTTCTCACTTCAAGTATTTTTGAAATACAGCACAATCCTTTTAACTTTAGCTCAGTGCATGTTTCCCCTTGCTCTGTTCAAAGATCATTACTTATGAGCCTCATGCCTTAGAGACCAGGATTTATTTAGCCAAACATCACAGCAAAGCCCCGTTTTAATAAATTATCTCAAAAGTTATATAACATGCTGGATAACTGCATACAGGTCCTAACGACGCCAGCAGCTTTGTAATAAACATGACTCTTTCATCCACTGCTTGATAGATAAGCAGCTGATGGTCGTCAGTGGCAACAAGACGTGGCAGGAAGAGTCAAGAGGCTAATCCAGCAGAGGGGTGTGGTGGGGGCAGCAAACATTTATCTGAATGCTGCTGCTGATGTAGGAGGACACATGGCCTCAGGCTGTCTATGAGTCAAGAAGAGCTGAATGTTGAGATGCAGACCTTCTTCAAAACGCTGTCAGACTCTGTCCTGCGTAGCTCCCCCGCTGTGTCCTCGCTCTCGTCTCTTTCTCCACCTGTCGAGAAGTGGGAAACCATAAGTGCGGAGCAGTTAACATGTTCAGCGACGGTTAAATGATAGGAAAAGAAGCTAAATGTTCATTTAAAATATTTATTCTTTATCGGATATTCTCAGAGTAGGGCTATGGAGGTGATCGCATTATAGAGATGACTCAGCGGGGAGAGTCGATAACCGCTCTGCAGCCGCAAACTCAAGCTGCTGAACACCCACCAGGCTGGAGGAAAA